AACTTGTCGGGCGAGCTCGGGAAGCTGCGCGGCGAGTTCGTGCGTCAGGCCGTCCTCATTCAGGTCGTTTGGTGACTTCGTTCCAGCGAGGCTGCGCCTGTTGAGGGCCGAGGGGAGCGCTGCCGAGGCGGCGGAGTTCTTCAATGAGTTGCTTCCAGGCCGCGTGATCACCGTGCACTACGATGATGGCCAGGGCATCTGGCACGAGCCGGTCCTGACCTGTCCCGCGGACGCGAATCGCCCTGCGACTTGCTGGACCGTCGTAACCCGCGACGGCGACATTTCCTCCGAGGACCTGGCGGCGGGGTCGGGCGGCCACGGGCCCAACATGGCCTCGCTCACCTCCGGAGCGACGCCAGCGCGCCCGCGGCCGCCTGGCAAAGTGCACCGCTTCCACGGCGACCCGTCCGAGGCGCGGGGGCGAGGCGCCCGGTGGGATCCCCACGGTGCGCTTCGGCTCGGTACCACAGTGCCGCCGGTGGCCGGCGAGGAAAACGGCGGCCGTGGCGGACGGGCCTCGCGCGGGGCCCCGCCGTGCTGCGCCGTCGGCCCCGCCCTCGTCGTCGTCGTCGTCGTCGTCGTCGTCGTCGTCGTCGTCGTCGTCGTCGTCGGCGCCTCCGCCGCTTCCCGGGGAGCCCACCGGGAGGCCCCGCCACGCCCCCGCCCAGGGTGCTCACCGCTGCGGGGTCCGCGCCGCCTGGGATGGCCTGGGTGGTGAAGACGGTCGCCAACGAGCGCACGCGCTGCGAGGAGGTGACCCCGCACGTCGGTGACGTCCTCTGGCGGGAGGGCGGGATGTACAGCATATTAGGCGGCTTCTCGGTGCCGGCCGAACGAACTCCGGCATCTTTCCATGACTATCTGCGTGACGACTTGGAAAACGATGACGCTCGGCAGCGGGATCCTGTCGTTCTGAATCGTGAGGGTCGTCGCCACTGCGAGTTCCGTGGCGCCATCGCTCAGATGAAGCAGGAGGTGCTTGTCGACTACCCCCTCGCGGGGGAGAGGAGCTACAATTGGGTGTGCAATGTCATATTCGAGCACGGCGGGGCCCCTGATGGTCAGCGCATTAAGTGGATCGGCTGCACCATGGACTCGGCGGCTGCCCACATCCACGACATCCTCGTTTTGGCGAGCGAGATGGCCACGACGTGCGACCAGATGGACGGGTCCAACCTTGCGTGCCTGCAGGTCGTGGCTCGCACGTGCTAGTTGGCTGAAGAAACCATGGGCAACATGAAAATCGAAAAAGTCGATCACTACAGAGGGCGCTCGAATCAGAGTGCTCATCGGAGTGTTTCGATGGCGCTTGGGGTCGCCAAGCACGCTACGGAGAAAATCGCCAAGGATGCCGAGATCCATGAACAATGACGGAAGGTTAGGGAGGAGAAGAGCGCGTCTTTTGACAAGAAGAACCATGGTTGACCTGGGGCTGGCGGTCGGGAGGTGGCTCGACCCCATCGCCGTTTCGTGAGGGCCAGTTCCGTGGGCCTGCCTGAGAAACCTTGCGTGGTGATGCTCTGCTACCTCTTGCGGTGCCAGCATCGCCCATTTCATCGCCCCTCCGCCTGGACTTCCATGTGCAACTCGTGTTTGCATTTCACGCACGCAGCTGATCGAAGAGCGTATTCGGGACACCGTGAAGTGCCTCGACTCTCCTGGGGTGGCACCGCACCACGATGCACGCCAGAGCGCGTCTCGCAGCTGAATGTTTTTTTACTTCGACGCGTCCGTTGGTTTGCATCGCAAGATGGAGGCCCCCGCGGGTGCGTCGGCCCAGGGGTCCTGCTCAGAATTTTTGGGCCGCCGGTGTCTACGCACCGGTGAGGCCCTACGCCCCGCGCTTCGTGAGCTGTCCCAAGACGGGTGGCCAGCCAGGCTGGCTCATTGACCGACTCGGACGGAGTAGTCGATGCTTTGCCTTGAACCTCGACAGTGGTTGCTGCTGGCACCGAGCTTCGACGCAGTCGTGGGGGGGGGCAGGGGTGCCCTGGTTGTATATGGAGCCCGTGATGGAGCGAGATCGGTCGCTCTTTCTCGATTTCGTCACGTCAGGCGTCTCGCGGGGCGTTTTCGTCACGGGTAAGACCAAGACCGAGGACGTGTCCGCGTTCTGTGTGGCCAAGAAGGATGGGCGGATCACGGCGGTGTTGGATTGCAGGCGGACCAACCAAGGTTTCACTTTTCGCCTCCAGTCAGCCTGTTCTCCGCCGCTGGCTTTTCGGACCTCGAAGCGCCGAAGGGCCAGCCCCTCAACTTCGCGGGGTTGGACGTCCTGCGTGTTTTCTACCAACACAAGCTGCCTGCTTACCTGCGCTCGAATTTCTGTTTGCCGAGGCGAAAACAGCATCGGCGAAAAGAGCATCGGCGAGAACAACGTCGCGTCCCGCCGTGGGCGCGTTTCTCCCCGCAACTTGCCGTCGCCGCTATGGGATGGAGCCGGGCGCTTTCGTGCAGAAGGCTCACGAGTGGGTGCTGGACGAGTGCGAGGTGCTGAAGTCTGAACTGCGGGCCGTCGGCTTCGCCCTGGTGCCGAACCTGCCGCGCGAGTCGACCCATTCGCTGTGCGTCGACAGTGCGTCGGTGATCGGCATGGACCGTGGTGGCTCCATCACCCTCGTGGGGCGAGTGGCGTTTCAGGCCCTGGCGACAGCGGGGCTCGCCGTCCACGAAGAGACTGACGCGGCGGAGGGCGTGGCCATGCTCGGCGGGCAGCTGAAGGGGCACCCGCTCGCGTCACCCTGGCGCCCCGCCGCTTCTGTAAGCTCTTACTCAGGAGGCTACTGGGGATTAAAACACAGACAGAATTGATCGCCGAAGCCCAGGAAAATATGGGAGGCGGGGAGGGGAGACAAGAACCAAGAGCATATGTGAAAATATGGGCGTTCTTGGGATTTGTGCGTATTCATTTGTTTGCTTTGGGGCCCCTTTGTCTATCTCGGGCTCGGCCACCTGGCGCAGCCGCGTCCGCGGGCGACCATCCACGACGTCGTGCACGTCGGCGGCCCATGCACACTCGCGGCGCCGTGTCGGCGTGATCATCCGACGGGGCTAGCGTTATGTCGGGCATGTCCCTCTACAGGAGGAAAATTTGGGACGATTCTTCGACAATCTGTTTCTATTTGAGACTATTTTCACTACTTCGCATTTTTCGTTCAAAATCCGCCTGTAGGAGGACATGCCCGACCTGAGGCTAGCACCAGGATCGGTTCGTTGTCGTCGCCTGGCTCAGTCCCACCTGGTTCCAACTCGCCTTCGCTCTCGCAGTAGGCCTTGTCACAGCCACCGTTGTTTCGACCAGTCCGCCTGTCGTGCTCGGCCATGGCATTCGCGGGAGACTTGTTCAGGACATGCGGAGTCACCTGGTCGATATCGCAGGTGCCGCCTGTGATGCTGATCTGTTCGTCACGATCGGCCTTCTGCGTCGAAGGAACTACCACGTGCGTAGTTGCGGCACGCGATGACCTTCACATGTCTGGCTGTCACCTGCAGCTGGGTCGTCGGCTCCCTCTCGCTCTTCTCGCGCCTCGCGATCCGGTCATATCGGCAGCTCGCCCACTGGTCGTCGTAGTCTCTGCAGGTGGTTCTGGGCGAGCAGGCCCACATCCTGCATGGTCGCCAGGTTCAGCTTCGACGCGACGTGGTCGAAACACCTCCACCGGCCGAGACGCTGGCCTTTTTCACCGCAGTGGTCGATGCGCTCCAGGTCTTCGTCGGACTCCGCATGAGGCTTGACCGTAGGGCCGAATCCTCGGACCAGCTGCGGTCCGCAGATGAGCCGTGGACGGCAACACCAACCACAGCATTTTGCTTCTGCCGGTACTTCGCCACCGGGTTCCTGTACAAGGCGTTCCTTTGCAAACGCGTCGTTTTCGGCACCGCCTGATCCCGAGGCTTTGCCTCCTCCTGGCCTTGCCGTGAGGCCGCGTTCCTTCTGTCTCCCCCTCTTTGTTAATTCAAGCTTCCCGCGGCCCGCTTAGAGCTTCGACCGGAAGAGGTGCGCTCTCGACCCGCGAGTCAAAACAGTTGTTCGTACGCTCATGACGAACATCGTAATATCGAAGCGGTGCGATGTGAGGTTTCAGGTTGCCCATTTCCAGGTTGGTGCTTCAGCTCGCCGCGATCCCGGTGTGACCGCCGCCGGCCCTCGTGGTGCTGCGCCGGCCTTGGCCGCGGCCGCTCCAGGCCCGGCACGGCTGTCCTGGCAGCCGAGGATCAGGACCGCTCGGAGGTTCGGAACCGCTCCGCTACCGATCTAGACCTGGCACTGGTCTAACTAGATCGTGTCGGTGTGTTCGTCGTATCATGTTTTGAGATGAGACGGTCAAGTTGATTGCAGGCGCCTCCTTCTCCACCGTCGGAGCAGCCTACTGCTATGTGGCCGCGCCCGAGCGGCGGCCTTGCCCACCAACTGGGAAGAGCGAGTGAACCCGCCCACCAACCCTCTGAGCCAGAGTAGCCGTGGGCGGAAGCAGTGCGCAGAGAGCGGGATGAGGAACGAGTCCAGTGCCCAGAGATTCGGACAGAGGGCCACAGGGGCTCAACACTGGCGCGAACATCTGGGGAGCTTTTGTTTAGGACCACTTCTAGCAACAACCGATCCTCCTTCTCTCGCACAGTCCCAAACCAGCCATCCTCATGATGGTCGTCCTCGGCATCGTCAGCAGCGTCGGCAGCACGTCGTCGTCGACGTCGTCGTCGTCGTCGTCGTCGTTGTTGTCGTCGTCGTGGTCGTCGTCGTCGTCGTCGTCGTCGTCGTCATTGCCAGCGTCGATGTCGTCTTTTCCGTCGTCTTTGTCGTCGTCGTTGTCGCCGTCGCCGCCGCCGCTGCCGCCGCCGCCGCCGCTGCCGCCGTCGTCGTGGTCGTCGTGGTCGTCGTCGTCGTCGTCGTCGTCGCCGCCGCCGTCGTCGTCGCCGCCGCCGGCGTCGTCGTCGTCGTCGTCGTCGTTGTCGTCGCAGCCGTCGTCGTCGCAGCTGACGTCGTCTTTCTCGGGCCCGGCAGCCGCTGTGCTCAGTCCGATCGGGGGCGCGCCTGCCATGAGATGACAAACCGGCCCCCGCTCCCAGGCAGCACTCGCCCTCCGATTGTGAGGAGGAGGGGAGAGGGTTCTGGTATGTGGAGAAGGGTAGAGCAGGAGTAGGAGGAGGAGGAGGAGGAGAAGGAGGAGAAGGAGGAGGAGGAGGAGGAGGAGGAGGAGACGGACGAGGATGAGGAGGAGGAGGTGGAGGAGGAGATGGAGAAGGAGAAGATTGAGGAAGAGGAGGAGGAGGAGGACTAGGAGGAGCAGGAGGGAGGAGGAGGAATGGAAAGGAGGAGTGAGGAACATGGAGATGAGGGGCGGAGGAGGGAGGAGCAGGACGAGGAGCAGCAGGATGAGGGAGGAGGAGGAGGAGGAGGAGGAGGAGAGGAGGAGGAGGAGTTCATTTTTTAGTTTCAGAACCCCAGACGGGTGGCATGCCTGCGCCTATGAATAACAATACCAGCGGTACCTGCGATCGCGTCAACGTGCACACACGACGCCCACGACCTCTTACTGGGTGCGCTTTTGGTGCCTGCGCCGTGCAATGCGCCGCGCCTGCGCTGATAAAGATAAGTGCTGGCGGTGCCTGCGCAAGTGCAGCGGCGCACAGGCGAAAAGGTGGCATGGGAAAAAGCCTGTTGGATTAGGTGAGTGAGGAGAAAGCTGATGAGGAGACGGGGGAGGTTAATGACGAGTTGCAGGAGCTCAGAAGGAGGGAGAGGAGGAGAGGAGGAGCAGGAGGAGGAAGGAGGAGAAGAGCAGGAGAAGGAGAGGAGGAGGAGGAGGAGGAGGAGGAGGAGGAGGAGGAGGAGGAGGGAGGAGGAGGAGGAGGAGGAGGAGGAGGAGGAGTAGGGGTAAGAGGGGTGGGGAGTGATGAGAAGGCACCAGGGTGCTTAGGAGGGTGCGGGGGGGGGGGGGGGGGGCAGCAGCAGCAGCAGCAGCAGCAGCAGCAGCAGCAGCAGCAGCAGCGTCACCCAGGGGGGGAGGACACCGTGAAGCATAGCGAAAGGCAGGGGACGCGAGGATGGTCAGTGCGACTTTGGGCCCCCCCTAATTACGCGGCGCCAGTGCTCGACTGAGAGGGGCGGTGCAGAACCTCTCCAGGAAGAGTTCCCCTCTAGGTTCGGAGCTCGCTCCGTTGTCTCAGGGTCGATGCGGGCGTGGTGACGTGCGCTGGTGGAGCGAACGTGAGGCATAGCCAAATGCGACATCTGCGCTGGGCAGGCCGGCGAGCATGTCGTTTGTTGGGTGGCCGTGCCCGGACATACTTGTTGATCGTTCTCAAGAGAGTTGCGGGGTTATGTTGTCGCGCGCTGGGGCAGTCTCTGTCCAGGCCTCGCTGTGGCAGGTGCGGAGAGCGAGGTGGAGGAGGCCACGCTTCCCTCCATCACCAAGGCCCATGATCGTACAGTTATGACGCTGAAGCAAGGACCACTTTGGGCTCACGCTGGTCTCTGGTTTTCGAGCCGTTTCTCAGATCGAGGTCGTGGGACCTATTCGTGGCTGATGTTTGTTGTGGTTAGAAAAGTCCCTTCGCGCCTGATTCAGCGGTCCTTCTGGTAGCACGATGGCTCTACTCATGGAGCTCTTGCTCCAGCGAGGCAGGACTTCTTGGTGTCCCGCCCTTGGTGCTGATAGCTCGGATCCGTTGAAGAACCTTGAAACGCCTCCTCCTCCTCCTCCTCCTCCTTCTCCTCCTCCTCCTCCTCCTGCTCCCCCTCCTCCTTCTCTTCGGCCTGCAGTGCTGATGGTGAGGAGCCCCACGGGAGGCCTCGCGCCACCCCTCTCCTCGACCTCCTCGGCGCCCCCCTCGCGCGGAGCGGCGCTGCGTGCACCGGGGTGCCGCCGAGTCGTCTTGGCGCAGAGCTGGATGCTCGGACATGTCCGCCGGCATGCCGCGGATCACCACCCACCAGACCAACCCAACCCAGCCCGAAGGCCCAACTCTGCCCTCCACTTCCAGTCCGGGGGGGGGGAGCATCGAACAACAGCACAGATGGACCCCGGACCCCCCCCTCCCAATCGGAAACTTGGGTCTTCGGGTTAGGTTGGGGTTGTCTGGGGTAGTCAGCGGAGAACGCAGACTTTGCAGTGTGCGGCACAAAGGAAGCCCCACACAGTGCCCTCACACCTTTGTGTGAGGCCTTCCTTTTGTCAAGGCGCATGTTTGCTCCGTCGCAATCCGTCGCGGCCCCACGCGCTTCGCCTATCGGAGTTTCGGTGTCGGCGTCTGGCAGCCGTCTGTCACTGTTGTTGCCGCTGCCGTGGCAGAGCTTGTCATCCTTATCATCGTTAGCTCGATCGACTATCTCCTCACGTCGTGCACCTCGGCTCGTTCGAAACATCATAACTATCGTGCGTGTGCACTTCAGGATTCGCCCAAAGTAGATGCAGAGGAGAAGGGTATGGGAAGAGCACTCTGTTGCTGCTGCGGACGATGATGATTGGGAGAGGAGGAGGGGGAGGAGGAGGAGGAGGA